GTTATAGCTCCCCATGATGTTAGAGGAGGCCAGTAGCAAGGCCAAATAGAGCTGAGGCCAAATTTTGCAAACTGGGCATGGGCCTCACCACCATTGGACTACCTTGCACACTGGACAAATACTTCTGGGCTGGTCATGGATGAAGGTTGGATTCCTGAGGCTTGGAGTGATAGTAGAATCGCATGTTAGGCCGTGCCGGGCTAGAAAGGAATACTGGAGTATAAGCCACCCCATATGAGACACTCTGGGAGGTCCACTGCTAGCTTGTCAAGTTCCGTCACCTTCATAGATGGCTCTCTTTTCTGCCCATACAAGTGTGTATGCCAAGTCTTCGGGATTGCAATCCACTTGGTGATAAGAACTGTAGTGAACGGCTGGGGGACCAAGGGTGTCGTAGATGATATCCCACCAATGACTTTGGATTGACTGCCACGACGTCTACGACGACAAGATAAGTACTACTGATTGTTATTGGCATAGATGTGCACTGCAGCCACAAGTGGTGAGAGAGTCTAGCACAGTGAAACAAAAATGAATTAAATAAATCCAAAGAAAAAAGAAATGAAGAGTGCACGGGGTCATGTTATACTTGTGGCTCATATGGCAACCTGCCTTGAGCGTTAGCTTGAATAAATCTGGATGTCAAAGCTCCACTAGATGATGATGTCGATCCTTGGGAGTAGTTGTGGAATGCTGATGGGGAACTATAAGCTTGCTGGTGTGGCAGCATTGTCAACTCACCCTACACAAAAAAACACATGGAAAAAAAAAGGTACAAATGAAAAACTTACCGAGCTAGACCGCTTGTTGCTTCGGGAGGTAGATGGCCAGGTATTGACACTTGTACTAGTAGATGGACTTGCAAGAGTAGTAGTGGCTAGTGGAGTTGTGGGGCTGGTAGCAGTGGCACTATATGGGGTTTCATGAGCACAACTTGTAGTTGGTGTTGGTGGCAGCATTCCAGATTGGACAACACCATGGGCATGAGGCATTCGGACTTGCTCATTTCGGATGCTTGGGCTGCTACTTTCCAAGGAAGGTGAGGAGAAGGAAACATGCTGGAGGTTCCACATATGTTGCAGTGTATGCAATGTTAGGCGGCACTCTACTTGCTCAAATGCAGTCGGGAGTTGTAGATGGGATGCTGTTGGAGTTGATGTCCTTGTTGCGGAGCTTGGAAAATCAAGTGGTTGGCGTGTGTCTCGCAGGATTGTTAGCTGTACCAATTGCGGAACATCGAGTGCTTAGTTGCGTGCTCACGAGGTGTTTCCTGCATAGTGTCTACTGGTATTGAGGCGTGCAACATTCTTGCTTCGAGCCTAGAAACCACAAGGGATTGGTTATGCAAACCTGATCAAGGAGAAGCTACCCACCATCACAGTTGTGGTGCTCTTGCTTGGGCAGTGGTCTTGTGATTGGGGGAGTGTGCACTAGAATCCTTGCCTCTAGTTAGATGACGCGAATCGATTGGAAGAACAAATGAACCATTGACAAAATCATGTCATAAAATGAAATTGCCCCATATCCAAGGCACAATTAATATGGGTGGGACTTGGTGTAAACCCTAATCCCGAACGTGGAAACCCTAAAATTGAAGAAATCAAGAATTGAATTTACATTTGAAATGTACACTAAAGAACACTTCATTTTCTCTAAGTATGGCCAAGTATAATTTTTCCAAAACTCATTGCTTCACTGGTGTTGTTGTAGGCAAGGCACTCTCGATGTAAAGTGGTAGATCTACACTTGCAACATCAGTCATTGCACACTCCATTTGTTAAATCCAAATGAAGTAGATATTGTTCGTCCAAGCTGAGTCCCTCCTGATGCATAAAAAGTGCCTAGTTTGGAACAATGCCATGAGCCTGTAAGGTAGCCAAAAACAACGAAATAGATTTAAAGAAATTGTTCTATTTTTGTTCTAAATATTACCTCTGACAGAGTTGCACATTCGACATTGGAGAGAAATGGTCTAGGAAGGTCTTCAATATCTTTTCCACCAACAGCCAGCATAATCCTACAAAAGCAAAATTAATAAAGAATTCTGTAACATTACTAAAATTCTTACCCAAACTCTCATTCCATCGGTTGAAATAAGTTTGCAGGAACATGAGATGGTCTAAAGTAATCACCACATCGATACGGATAGACCTCATGGACGTTCCAGGTTGCAACCCAATATGAAATATCCTTCTTGAGGTATGGAGCAAAACCACAACATAGACTCTGGTTGTGCTATGGATTAGATACATTGAGAATTCCTATATCTTCCATGGACTCAAAAAGGTGTTTATAAAACCACACCACGCACTCAAAGAGTTCTCTCCACAAATGCTCTATAGGCTGTAAAACAAATTTGATTTAGTCCTTATTTGGAAAAACTCTAATGCTGTGAGTACCTGGTTACATGTTGATGTCCCACATATAAAGCTCCTAGCTGTAGGACCCCAACAGCGGACCATGTCCCTCTTAACCTCATTGTGTTCTGGAGCATTGTCGCTTCGGATGTGCTTGGGCCTTGCAAATCAACGAACAGCCTGTGCATATGTGTTGAATATTGCATGGGATTTTTTGGAGGTAGCTAGCTCGCAAGCTACAATATATGAGTTGCCTAGCAAATAATGGCATATACATAGAAACCATAGCTTACAAGCTTGCAATATGCTACAATAAGCATGTTACCACATGTGCTAACAAAAAAGCAGAAATGAAAAAATACTCACAATCCATATGGCAAAGTGCATATGCCTCCTCGTTCCTATAAATCCGTTGTCAAATCCTTGTCATGTGCCTCTGTTCCAGCCTTATGGGATCGTGAGTGGCTAAAGCCTCACAAATTTGGCATCGGCTAAACTGGTATCCTCCAGTTCAACAGCTAGATTGGGAATTGATAATCCCCCAGTTTGTGCCACCTTAATTCATGGCATTGTTAGTTCGAACGTGATGAAGTATCTCTTCGAGTGGTACTCTGTAATATACACCTCTCCAATTTAGATCGACAAGCCGCATGTATTTGTATAGTGTTGGCTTAGAAATTCTAAGATAGCATGCAAGGTAAGCAGTCTTCTTAGTCTCGAGGATCTTCAGGTGCATCCAAGTGCCAAATGCAGCTGGACTATCGAATCCCCTTGATTGCAAAAAATTATAAAAGGCCTAGAAATATGCAAATCATGAATTTAGGAAGCTAGGAACTACACAAACCTCTGGGAGAGCATCGTTGTCACTCACCATACTAAAACCACAGTCCGAATCACTAAATTTGGATGGAAGGCCATCCATCTCATCTTCCTCCATGTCTTTCAGTAAACCTGGAAGAAAAAGTTTCAATGACAAAAATTTGAAATAAACTAAGGAGGGAACTATACTCATGGTAAGAACTTGAAAGTCCATAGAGAGCAATCGAGTAGTAAATTAAAGCCACTTCCAACACTACCCACAAAAACATTTGAAACCAATCATTAACAAACCAAGTTACCTTCCACATGTGCTACCAAGAAACATGCCAAATAACAGAGCACTAAAGCAGGGTGCTAAAGCAAGGAAGCGTCTCCTAAACCCTATGACCTAATGAATCCCTATGTCATGGGGTCAAAGTTGATGATATGTGGCATCTATATATAGAACATTGTTCATATTATGGGGATATCATCAACCCATCATGCTAGTATCCATGGGGTATCCATGAGGGATCCAAATGACATTTAATGCCAAACCAATAGAAAAACTGCCACATGGACAATGTATTGTGAGTGAAATCTGCCACAGTAACACTCACCCTTTTACGAATTGCATGCCTTAGCTTGTTTATGCAGCTTCTATGTATAGGTATGCTCATCCCTCTAGAGGTTGTGAGTAAAGGGTCTTTCTACCACCAAAGTAGAGAATGTGGCAGCCACCAATGCCATCCTATCTTACCACTGTTAGAGTCAAGCCAAGTGACTTCAGTCACATTATTTCAAATTAAGGTTTTTATTTTTTTTGCTATTTTGTAAGAGCTGCTCTCTTTCTTTAGAGTGTTAGATGGAGACTCTTCACATGGTATTAGAGGCATAGTGCTTTAGACATTAGGTGTCATCTCTATCCTCTTGGAGAAATGGAGCAATGAATTTCCTTGTTGCAAACTTCTGGTTTGTGAGGTGGGGATTTTGGCTTGTGTTGTCTGGAATGACAAAATGATAAAAATTGATAAAGGTTTGTGGGTTTATTTTTTATTGCTTGGCTTGTTGCCACACATTGCCATTTACAGTTGCATTGTGTGGCAAAATCATCTATATTAACAACAAAATCAATTTTCATTTTCTATAGCAACAATTATACAATGCATATATGTGGTGAGTGTAAGCAATCTTGAGTTTAAGCTTTTATTACTGCAAGTGATTTTTAGGATTGCATATTTGAGACTTTTCCTTTTTGTTTCATACTTTTTAAATTTTTTTTCCTTCCCTTTATTTTTATTTTATTTCTTTTTACATTTACTTCCATCACTTTGGTCTTCCCATCAATGTTTTTGTTCAATATTTCTATTTTGCTCCTTTATTTCTCAAACCCCTCCAACTCAAGAAAGAGTATTCTATTCCTCTTCAACTTTGAATTATTGCTTCAAAAGTGTAGGCTTGTGGACGTGAATTTGCCATCAAATGAGGAAGACTGGAGGATGGAGTGCTGCAAAGATACTAATTTTAGAGATGCTAGCCAAGATCAAGAAGAAGGATCCCAACATGTACAAGCCAAATGTGAAGTTTTCCGATAATAATAATGGTGATGAAATCAAGGAAGAGAAGGCTTTGAAGGAGAAGAAACCAATGTACCTGAAAGATGTTCTGGCTAAGCAAGTTCTGGAAAATCCTGAGGGGGACAAGGATTGAAATCCTCCAGAACACTCCATTTATCCACAGCATCAGGATCCAAAATTCTAATACTTTCAAGGTCCACCCCAAAGCTTGGCTGGAAGGTCGTCTATGTAGCTCAGCAAAAGAGCCACCCACATTGTCCTCAAGGGATTGTCAATGAAACATTTGCCATTGATAAAGACGACCTTCTTGGAGGTGTTCTTCCAAAGTTGCCAAAGATATCCAGCCACAGTAGCAAGAGCAGTGGTCTGGAGGAAGGTTGTCATTATCCAAATTGCTATGTCTCAAGGCTGATACGAAACTTTTTATCTCCGTAAGAGTGAGCGACCCATGTACATGTATGTTTTACTCCATTCCAGAGAAAGCGGAAGTATGGAGCTCCCAAAAAGTCGCATGGCTTGTCCAGTCAGTGCCATCGTCAGCAAAATCTGCGGTCAGGTTCTCGTTCAGCTTCTTGGCCCAGGCAATCTTGTCTGACACAAAAAATTATGGCTTTCAGTCCCTTAGACATCATTTTTACCAGGCACCTAAGAATCGGCTGGAGGAAGTCCCGCTGTTGGCGCTGATGCTGTGAGAGGCACAATAAAGTCTATGGAGGAATGGCCACAGAATTAAACACAGCCAAAGGGCAAACAGGGGTGAGAATGACCACAAGGATGCGAAGATTACCAGATATCCACACAGAAAGAAAGAAACAGATTCAGGAAGCAAAAATCCTTAACCGTGACCAGACAGGGAAAGCAAAGCAGGACAGTGGAGCTGCTCCGGGATAAAGAGTTGCTGCTGCTCCGGGTGAAAGAGAGGCTGCTGCGGGAGAGGAGAACTCGGTTAGTCATCTCTTCCATGTGTGGTTATGGTCAGGGATTTCGCATCACAGATCTGAGAGGCGAAGGGGTACTCGACAGAGAGGGCTACCAGATTAGCAGCGACGAAATTTGAAAGAAAAGGCATCGCGGAATGACCAAGTAAACACATGAAAAGCAAACAAGGGGGCTTTGGAGGAACGCACAGACTTGTGAGCAGAACTGAGCAAACTCTAGTGTCAGGCCGAAAAACATACCAGTCATCCCAAAGAGAAGACACCCAACTATTACTAGACAGACAGCATTAAAGTAGCATCCAGAACTGGACAAATGGAATACCAAGAACTGGACAGAAAATGGGGATGCATGTGCAAGGAAACGAAGGGCTTTCGCAATTGCTTACCAGATCCGCGCACTGCAACATTCAGAACAAAACAAAGTTAGTATTAGATCTGGAAGAAAAAACCAGGGTCTCAACAGCCATAGTCATACAAGAACGACCAAGGATCCACAAGGGAGCATGCGTCCACCGGCAGCATAGCCAAAAGCCACCATAGCCACATTTCCGGCAACCCAAAATAAAAGCGAATTGAAGCTACCTCTGGCAAAATCCTTAACCATGGCCGAAAGCAGCCATAGCCACATGGAACCACACACACAGTAAAAAGCCCCAAATCGAGGGGGAAAGCTAAATAAACAAAGAATGACTTACCATTACATTGGAGGAGGAGGAGTTCCATCTTCCGCAGCTGTAATTTTTTCTTCCGCAGCTGCTGTTTTTCCTTCCGCAGCTGCTTTTCCTCCTTCTGCCAATATTCCGCCAGAAATTGATTGCCACTCTCAAAGGCAGAGAGAAAAGATCCCCCAGCCGCTTGGATCTGCGGCTCAAGACGCTCGATTTCAGCCTGCACCTTGGCCAATTCCTCGTCCATTTCGTTAGTTGAAACCCTCACCGCCGCGCGCTGATCCGGAGAGCGATCAAGAGCGCCCTACGACAGTGGCGCCCTAGAATCGTCAGGGACCGCACGATCTTCATCCGACGGCCCGGTGGTTTAGACCACTAACTCAATTATAAACACAAGAGACAAAAAGTGAAAACTTAGCCACAATTTTGTTTGTATGGTGTGCAATTCGTAAAAAGGTGGATTTTACAATGGTGGATTTCACTCACACCACGTGTATGCCTGCTATTGGTCACTTGTATTATGAGTGTGAAAAAAAACACATTTTAGGAATATTCAATCCTTATGCCCCGAATGGGGCATAATGCCCATAGCAATAACCCATGCTATAGAATGGAGCCATTCATGGCCCATAGACCCATTCATCCCATGCATTCTAACAAATTGTTAATGTTGCAAATTAAATAGACAATTGACTAAATTGCATACCATACTACCGTATCTAGAGCACTATGTTCTCACATCTTGCTCTTGGCACTCATGGCAAAAGAACTAAATTATCCTTTTTTGGCACACCTCTTTTAACATAGTGTTCACAGCAAGCGTAAGTGAATTCTATCTAGGCTAAGGATCTGGAAGATGGAGTTTCCAATCTTTCCAAGTTGATTTGAAAGAAGGAAACATTTGAAAGATTGGAAAGCCATGGATATATATTGTCTAGAGTTATGTCTTTAATGCATCCCATTGAGTTTATCTTTCGATGCCATTGATTTCCAGTGTAACTCTCTTAACACTTTAGTTTTGTACCATGATGCTTAGAAGATTTGCATATGACTAAAAAGTAGATTGATGTTTAAGCAATTTGATGAATTGGTGGGGCTCATACTTCAATTGTGTATTACAGAAAGGTGCATAGTGTTGATGTTTGGACCTAGAGTTCTCTCAACAAGAGCATGCTGAAGGAGATTTGAGAATGTGGAAGTTGCAATTGCATGTAATAAAATTTAGGATAACATAAGACACTTTCAACATTTTCCAATTATAATTGTTTCAAATTGGACTTGGAGTTCTCTCAAGAGGAGCATGCTGAAGGAGATTTGAGAATATGAAAGTTGCAATCGCATGCAATAACATTCAGGTGAGAAGAGCAATAACAATGGACACTTACAATATTTTCCAATCATAACCGTTTTAAATTTTGAAATTTGTAAACAGGGTTTCCAAGCATGGGGCAAAACTATCCAATATATGCTACACGCTACGACCGAAGAATTGGATTTTTCAGGGATTGGAAGCTCATGCTCACTTTGGTAAAAGTAAATTTGTGACAGTTTCCTATATACTCTAACCCTTTTGTAATGTTTGAGGTTTTTGGGTTTCCTCCTGAAATGGCAAATTGGAGAGGATTCTATGACTTCTTTTGAGGCACAATAATGGATCCAACAAGGGACAGGATCGAGGATTCTATATGATGCCTCCTCTTCTCAAGACTTGATAATCCCTTCGACAAGGCAGCCCAAGACTACTTCTAATGTTATGCCAATCACCGAGGGGAAAAGTCCTGCTAAAGAAAGTGACAACAAGGGATATGTTATTGCTCGAGATGCAAGCAAAAACAAGTTCACAGACCCAAAGGGTGATTTTGGTTCTACTATGAAACAAGTTGAGAGTTCCTCAAGCGAGGATGTGCATCATGTAGCACCCAAACTCAATACTTTTGACCCAAATCCTAAACAAGGAGCTGCTTTAGAAGCTATAGTGATTACCCTTGGTGAGGCAAGCATAAGCCAAAAGGGTACCAAGGGCCACAAGTGCCTATAATAGGCATTTGTGGAATATTTCAAATATTCTTACCTTTAACTTCGCCAATGAACTAGAAAGAGTCTCTTTCAAAGTGTGAAATATATTTCAAGATAATTATCTATTTTTATTGTGAAAGTGTCTAGATTATAGTACTTCCACAACATCAGCCTAATCCATACAAACTCTCTAGATTTTGGAGTGTCCGGTGGATCTTGTGATCCACTCCATTGACAAGTATGTTAAAGGGAAGAAAACTTCTCGTGTGCATGTGGAGAACCTGGAAAATTGAGTAGATGATGTACCCTATCTCTCAATGTGGATCCAATTAGGCTCTCCCGGTCGGAACTCTAGAGAATCAATTGCAAAGGGATGGAACTTGGATAACTCTTTCGGGCTCATATTTATAAAATGTTCAAACATACAAGAGTTTTAGTTGTTTCTGAAAGTAAATAGTTACCTCGAATGATGTCCACAATCCAACTGTGGAAGTTCTCTCTAAAGTCATGATCAAAGATTAGGCAGTTGGTGAACTCCATGGGAGGAATGATTATCCTTACCCGGAAGACCTGTAACAAAGCATCTCTCCCAATGAGTGAAAGCCCACCTAACAATGCTGGACCCTTGTAAGGCCTCTAACGAGCTTCCATGCACATTGAGTGTTAGAAGCCATCTTGGAGTAAATATCCCACTACGTTTAGCTCAATGAATAGGTAATGCCAAACCATCACAGCCACACATGCCTCCATAGCCTGCTCATAACCTTCACCAAGTTCGGTGAGTCTAGACTCAAGCACTGCGTTGTAGTCAGTAAATGCAAGGTTCTCTAAGATGGAATCCACAGACTTGTGTCAATCGCCCTCCTCCTTTAGGGTTGATGTACCTCACAATTGGTTGAGTGCATTCCAGATATACGGCACGTATGCCTTGAGGTCCATCTCATATAGTCTTCATCAGGCAAGTCATTGATCATTCTCATCTGGAACCTCTCGGGCTGCAATTGCCAATATTGCAATTGTACACCTGCAAGATACCTGTGCATGACATTCGAACGCTTGGAATAGCAACCATCCCATAAAGATAGCTGTGCATATAGAAATGAGGAGCATATAAAATTTGTGCTTTAAACTTAACTTACCACATCCTGCTCTTCTTGTCCTAACGTCCTAGAATGCGTTGGCATTTTGGGATGCCAATATGTGGCTCCTTCCCTAAGCATAAAGAGTCCACACATTTGTAACACAAAGTTACTTTAGTGAGCCAAGTGAAAATTAAACTTCCCGATCCTGGAATTTGGCAAACAGCCTCTTTAATGGCTTTTGCATGTGGCCCACCCACATTTATTATGGATTCCTCCCACACCAAAGCTCCTCCAATCTCAAATGCATAGACCACTTTGTAATTCAGTGTGCGGAGATTAGTATTGAAGGTGAATTAGAAACAACTGAATTCATTGTTTGGTGCAATCTGAAAGGACAAGTGAGGGAACTTTAATTCATAGGCAATCCATTGCTTACCAGAATGTGAGACGGCCTCAAACATGTATAAGCAAGATTGTATGGCCAAAGCATAGCCTTCTCGATGCAAAAACGAGAGAACTTACAATATAGTGTTTCAGTAGTGTCAAATAATTCTTTTAATTGTTGTGTAGCTGCCCAATTTCTACATAGGTCTTTGCACAAAATAATAAAATGGTACTAAGTGCTAAGAAATAGATACACGTACTTCTTGTCAATGAACCATGCTATTGTGGACTCAACAATTGAAGAAGGCACATTGATACTTACTTTAGCAAAGAGTTGTTGGATTGTATTGTCACAAAACACGCGCTTCTGAAAGGCCAAGCTTAAGGAGAACACTCTCCCAATCCTGCTAATGAAGCATGGCTTGGTTGAAAAAGCACGCGTTGAAGAAATATTTCACTGCTAGCTTAATATAACTTAGAGTGTCTAGCAATAGCGCATAGCATCTATTTGTCACTTGTACTCTCCATACCAAAGCAACCAAGAAGCTTATGTTTCAGCCACTACACTTATGAAAGAACTTCAACATCCCTATATGCCCTCACCTCAAGGGCTGTAATGGTATTTTGTAAGGCAAAAACCTCCTCATACTGCAGCATGATGAAGTTGGCACTATCCTGAGTGGTTAACTGAACAACTTCATTAAATGCATTAGTGACATCAATCCGTCGTTGTTGACGCTCAAATGGCATAATTTTCAATTATCTTACTCTACTATAGAAAAGTTGTCAAGCAACTCCATAAGAGTAAATGAAGTGGAGCTACTTCCCTTTAGAAAGGGGGTGGAAGCACACCATGGTCTTCAAAGCCTTTGCCATCACTGTCATACACTACCATTGGTCTATCTGCACTTAGAAATTAGAAAATGAAGAAAATATTCATTTATGTTAATGCTTTTTACTAGCTATATGGCTTGGAGCCACTATCTCTAGTGACAAGGATGTCTCTGGAGATCCTTGATGCAGTTCATCCCCACCATCACCTTATTCTTTGACTCCGGTGATGTCCATGTTGTCTTGTATAGGGAGAGTATCTTCTGGTAATGGAAGAATGTTCTCTTCATCCACAAAGTCTTCTTCTTCATTATTCTCGTCTTGGCTTAGTTCTTGCATGGTTGGCCTTAGGAGAAATGGCTCTATCACCAAGGGATCATCATTTGCAGTCAAGGTATTTGTAGTAGCTACAACTGCAAAGACCACAACATATATTTGTGAGGAGGGAACTTAAAAAAAAATTGATTTATATTCACGAACATCCTTCTCCTCGAATGCTTGGGCTTGCTTTTGATAACTTAGCCAATGTTTGTCAATAAGATGCTCCATAATATTGTATAGGTATATTATTGTTACTCAGTTGCTATTGGCCTTGTTTGTTATAGCTCCCCATGATGTTTGAGGAGGCCAATACCAAGGCCGGATAAAGTTGAGGCCAAATTTTGCAAACTCAGCATGGGCCTCACCACCATTGGATTGCCTTGCATGTTGAACAAATGCTTCTGGGTTGGTCATGGATGAAGGTTGGTGTAAGCGACTTAATTTTCATTCTATTTTAGTCACTTAACCACACCTTTGACCACTTCAAGGAGTCTCATTCACAACCTCCATAAGTTCTATTTCAAACTTGGGCTTGCTAGCCTTGAGAATGGCATCCCCACCACTCAACCTTTGCACTTGGTCCAAGTGCTCCATGTGCCCGATCCCATGACTGACACCCCAAGATACCATTGACTTATCA